CGCGGCCGGAGTCTCGGGCCGACCGAGAGCCGAAGCCCAGGGTGAGGTGTGAGGTCTGCGGTGCGGCGTGCGCGCCCACGGAGACGGGTTGCTCCGCCACCAAACTTGCTCTCGGCGTTCTCTGTACAGTGGAACTGAAACTCGGGGAGGGTTAGGAGAGGGCTTAGGAAGCGGTGAGCAGATGTATGAGCCGTAAGTAGTGATGATCCCCAAAAGGCTGTAAGTGCGTTGCTAAATGGCAAAAGTTGAACTTATTTTTTTCTTGCCAACAATTTTCGAAGCGTGCCTCCCGGAACTTGGGGGTTGTTTTATCAGGCCCAAGGGAGGGAGAGCATCTATTGGTAGCAGATGGGTATTTATCCCGGCAGCTCCGCTTCTCAAACCTGAAAGTGGAGTTGGGTCACGTGAGCTCACGCCCTTTCCCTCCTCTTCTGCGCCCGCATCCTGCTTGGAAAATCCCCGAAGATCCCAGACCATCTGTCAAATTCTGCCAACCGAGGACCGCTTCTTGGGGGCGAGGGAACCGCCCCCGTCGTTTTCCTCCCAGCTCCTGGAACGTAATTCTTGCTCTTGGTGACATCAAGCAAATATGTGTCCACTGTCAGGAAATTTTAAGAGAATAAAGCCCATTCGCCTTATCTCCGATCCTCCCCAAGATCCACTGAAAACCTTTCCAGTTGGTCCAACTTAAGCTGCCATTGTGCGGGGTCCTGGAAAAACTGAAGTTTAGTAGATAGACTTTGTTTAGAAGAGAAAAAGTTTAGTTTTCAAAATCCAAAGGAAAGTTTGTAAATTAATACATTTGTTACTTTAAAAACCAGGCGCAGTGGCTGGTGCTTGTAATCCCAGCACTTCGGGAGGTCAAAGCGGGAGGATCGCTTAAGCTCAGGAGTTAAAGACTACTAGCCTGGCAACATGGCAAAACCCCCTCTCAACCAAATAAAAAAAAAAAGCCGGGCAGGATGGCGCGTGCCTGTGGTCCCAGCTACATAAGAGGCTGAGGCAGAGGGTGGGGGACGGTGGTGGATGGCTTGGGTCCAGGAGGTGAAGCGTTTGCATTAGGTCTCCGGGGATTGCAGCAGCTTGATTATAGGGGATGACAAGAAAAGGATAGAAAGGTGATCTTAAACACACACTAACCAGTCCCATAAGCGGTATGATGATATATATCAGTCCAATAGTCGAGAGGCATCACAACGTGAAACTAAAACATGAAATGCCACAGTTTATAAATCAATGTAAAATAAGTTATGATACTTCTGTGATAGTGTTTGTTATGCAACCAATAAAAATCACATTTTGTATAAAATTTAGTTGTATGGGATATGCTTAAGCAACAAAGGAAGTATTTTGAAGTGTGATGCTTTAACAGTGGGCTGTAACGGTGCAATTACGAACGATTTTTATTTTCTTTATTCTGTATACTTTGCAAAATTTGTAAATTAAGCATATAAAACTTTAATAAGCAGAAAAATTGATTTTGAAACGCAGTAAGAAGGCTGTAATCATATGAAAAATGATATACAATAATAAAGCGCAATGTCACTCCAAAAAATGCAGTGAAAAAAGACTGAAAGAAACATAAAAATATCTATATCGGAGATCTTTGAGTGGTAAAATGTGAGGTAAAATATTTTCTGCATTTTCAGAGGATCTTTTCCTACTATTATGTAATAAACATATTTATCATAGGCTTAAAAATGAATATGCAAGTCTAAATTGCCCTAACCCTGAAAAAGCTTTGCTTCAGATATATCAGTTGTTTGCTGACCAGGTGTGAGGAAAAAAACAACAACAACAACAGTATGTTTTGTGAGCAAATGTAGTGTTATTTATATTCTAATGCAAAGTGGTCGGTACTAGAGAGCCCTCAAAATTGCTTGCTAACAGAGTAAGTTTAGACAATCTGAATGATTAGAATTAGAGTCAAGATTAAATGTGCGTGTGGGTAAAACAAATATTAAACATATCTATAAAAATGAAATAATCCGCTTGAACCCGGGAGGCGGAGGTTGCAGTGAGCCGAGATCGCGCCACCGCATTCCAGCCTGGCAACAGAGTGAGACTCCGTCTCAAAAAAAAAGAAAGAAAGAAAGAATCAAAAATTGAGACCCAGAGAGATTAAGTAATGTGCCAGTCAGTAGGAACTTGGGGTCAGGACCTAGATTACTCCCTACTATAATTAACAGTACTACTATTTGACATGTATTGAGTAGTTAATATGTTTTAAACTCAATATTAGCTCATTTAATCCTATCAACAATTTAATGAGGTTTTGCTATCCTTCCATTCCACAGGTGGGAAAACTGGGGTAAAGAGAGTTTAGATGACTTAACAAGTGGTATGATTTGGCTGTGTTCCCACCCAAATCTCATCTTGAATTGTAGTCCCTGTAATCCTCATGTGTTGTGGGAGGGACTCAGTGGGAGGTAACTGAATCATGGAGGTGGTTTCCCTCATGCTGTTCTCCTGCTAGTGAGTTCTCATGAGATCTGATGGTTTTATAAGCATGTGGCATTTCCCCTGCTGGCACTCATTCTCTGTCCTGCTGCCCTGTGAAGAGGTGCTTTCTGCCATGATTGTAAGTGAGGCCTCCCCAGGCATGCAGAACTGTGAGTCAATTAAACCTCTTTTCTTTATAAACTACCCAGTCTCAGGTATTTCGTTACAGCAATGTGAGAATGGACTAATACACCAAGGTTACAGCTGGTAGGTAGCTGAGCCATCATTTGACCGCAAGCAGTTTGGCTCTGGAACTCGTGAACTTAGCCATCACACTGTACCATCTATACTATGCTACCTTCACTATGCCATAGCTGTTTTGGTTCACATTGTATGTGAAAGACAAGCCAGTAGATCCTGCCAGTTGCGAAAGGTATTGCGTATTAAAATGCTATGTGCAAGTTCATGAAGTGGAAATGAGTTGCTAAATTACAAGAATTTAATTGAAATTTCACAGGGCTCTAGAGCTTAAAGGAACCTTAGACATCATCTAGAATTATCACCCTACCTCTAAAAACAATGCACACAAACCATCCCAAAAAAATGATCTGCCTTCCCTTTCATTGTTCACTGCAGCAACCTAGGTGACACATTACTTTTTCATCCTAAAAGTCTAGAAGTACATTGTAATGGTTAACGTAAATCCATATTATAGTTTAAAATTCTCTCGTCCTCAAGATGAAAGAACACTTTCTCTCTCTTATACACACATACACATATACGGTATATTATTGCTGTATAGCCACCCAGAATTGGTGGCTTAAAGTCATTTTATGTGCTCTCAATTCTGAAGATTAGTAATTTGGGCTAGCCTTGTCTAGGGTGACCCACGCAGATGCTACAGTCATCTAGCGGCTTGACTGGGTACAGTCACATGGTATTTGGTGTTGGCTGTTGGCTGGACCTCTCTTCTTGTAGCCTTTCAACCTCAAGGAGACTAGCCTGGGTTTCCTCATACAGTGGCAGCATGCCAAGCCAGTAGAGAATAGAAATTACAAGATTTCTTGAGGCCCTCAGTTCAGAATTTATATGACAACACTTTCACTACATTTTGTTAGTCAAGTCAAAGAGCCAGCCTAAATTCAGGAAGTAGACACTTAGACTTGCCTCTTGCTGGGAGAAG